GAGATATGGGGAGCTGATAGCCAGCGCGACGATCCAAGTGGCGAGAATGAAGAAGGGGCACAGCTTTGAACTGATGAGTGGGGAACGGAGGGGAAATACCACAGCACCAAATCGATCCACCGCTATCAGAACCAGGCTCAGAATAGAGACACTAGTCGAAACATCGGGTAAGAAATGCCGAGGTAGCTTGCATTGCATAAGGCCTCGCCAAGAGGACCACCGATCAGCCAGGAGTCGACGTACAACTCTGTTAGAATCCGCGGGAACAGGAAAATTGGAAACAGAAGATCGGACATGGCCATGTTCGCGATTAAATAGTAAATGGGTTTTCTCATGGTTTTCGTCTTGTAGACAATTATTCCGATAAAGGAATTCCCAGCCAGCGAAACAACAAAGAGAAGGCAGTAAGCAAAGGTTTTTCCGATTTTTTCTGCTGTAGGATTGAAGCAGCTGGATGACTGTGTTCCATTCATCGTTGTGTTCAAGTTTGCCGACATTCTGATAGCTACGTTTGTTATCCAGTTGTTTCCCAGTCTTATAAGTTAATTTTCATCTGATTTCTTAAAGAGCAAACGTTGATCTATTTATGTTGCCGAATATTCATTATATAGGACTGCTGTTACCGATTATTAGCCGCTGGCGATTACAAAGAATATTAAACTTTGAACTGTTTATTTGTCGTGTCCTATCTCTCAGCAACAACAACAACAACAACAACAACAACAACAACAACAACAACAACAACAACAACAACAACAACAATAAGCTTTATTTGAAAGTGCTTGGCGAACTATCAGACCGTTGGAAACGCCTAGTTTTAAATTTGATGGTTTTAATTTAGGAGCAAACCCTGTACCCTGCGAACACTGACGTACTTCCGGTAAAACAACTGTTACGGTCCGGCCAAATGCACCCAACATGTCAACGCAACATAGTGCGATATTGTTGGATCGTGTTGTGAGATGTTGTGAAGGAGCTGGCCAAAGTCCACCAAACACAAGCAACATTTTAACGCAACATATCACAACATTGTTGTGCACAACATGTTGCACACGTTTGGCCACGTACCCTGTTGCAATATGTTGCAGCATGTTGGATGGTTCTTTGAAATAGCAAATCGAACTAGTGCGCATGCTCCGGTGCAACAATGTTGCATGAACGTGGCCAAACGAGTACAACATCATGCAACATCCAAAAATGTTGCACGAAAAATTTCACATTTTCAAACTTGATACAACATGTTGCAACAGGGTGGCCAAACGTGTGCATTATGTTTGACGTTTGACAGGGTCTTTATCTGAGAATGTTTATGGGCTGCTGACGTCATTCAATTCTTCATCAAGACGTTTTTGCGGTGGAAATAACTCACTCACTTCAGAACAATATCCCAGCAGTCCTTGAGGCTACAACATTATTTGGTGTTCTCAACTGAAACTTCTCACGATTTCTAAATTTAGCGAATATTTAAAATTCATGACATCGCTAAATTCGCTAAATTTAGTAGCGGCTAAAAATAGTAACCTTAAGGCAAATTCCCTTAACAACTAATGGACTTTGTACATCATTATCATATATGGTAACATTTCGGTTGTAAACCAATTTTTGCACTTCAGATTTATTTATATACTTTGGGACAAGAAACCTCACAAACAACTTATTTATGTTAGTAAATGGGTGCTGTTTATACCTAAACTGCGTAGCCAGAGAATATTTACTTCAAACGCAAATCCTTAGGTCTTAGGTCTTAGGTAATTATACTCTCAAAGATAGCTGGGTTGCTAATACTGGGAGGTTTACAAAAAGTAAACAAAATTGAATTTCGCGAAAATGTCACCAAATTTTAATCAACATTTTAGTAAAATAATCCGTCATTGATAGTAAGTACTGGATTGTAATTGGGCGTTTGTAACCCAGTAACTACTGGATTGTAATGGGGCGTTTGTAACCCAGTAACTACTGGATTGTAATTGGGCGTTTGTAACCCAGTAACTACTGGATTGTAATGGGGCGTTTGTAACCCAGTAACTACTGGATTGTAATGGCGAGTTTGTAACCCAGTAACTACTGGATTGTAATGGCGAGTTTGTAACCCAGTAACTACTGGCTTGTAATGGCGCGTTTGTAACCCAGTAACTACTGGATTGTAATGGTACATTTGTAACCCAGTAACTACTGGATTGTAATGGGGCGTTTGTAACCCAGTAGTTACTGGATTGTAATGGGGCGTTTGTAACCCAGTAACTACTGGATTGTAATGGGGCGTTTGTAACCCAGTAGTTACTGGATTGTAATGGGGCGTTTGTAACCCAGTAACTACTGGATTGTAATGGGGCGTTTGTAACCCAGTAACTACTGGATTGTAATGGGGCGTTTGTAACCCAGTAACTACTGGATAGTAATGGGGCGTTTGTAACCCAGTAACTACTGGATTGTAATGGGGCGTTTGTAACCCAGTAACTACTGGATTGTAATGGGGCGTTTGTAACCCAGTAACTACTGGATTGTAATGGTACTATTGTAATGGGGCATTTTCAAATTAAGGGGGCTATACAAAAGAGGAAAAAAGTGGGAGTCTGTGTCCTTTATTTTGCAATAACTTTGTGGCTAGCTAAATGTAAAAAAATGTTATCTATTTTACCTTACTTTGAAAATAATTATATTCCTAAACTGAACGTTTTATATTCTAGGCTGCAGAGCAAGGAGCCCAGGCCACCTCCACCATGGCAGCCAGAGCAGGTCGCTCCAGTTATGTCAGTGAAAAGCACTTGAATTGCCCGGACCCTGGCGCTCTTGCGGTGGCAGTCTGGTACCGAGCGGCTTATAACGCCCTGAGGAAATAAGGTGAGATGTCTGTACGGATTTTATCAATTAAAGTCAACTCTCACCTTGAGGACACCCCGTTTTTACGGACACCCGCTATTACGGACAAAATCCATCCCTCCTGCTTCCTTCTTGGCGAAAGTTATAGAGGTTTGACTGAAAATGACTCCCGCTATTACTGACGGACTCTCGCTATTACGGAATTACGGACACTTTCGTGGTACTAACATAACAATTTGATTGTTTTGACTCTCGATAAAGCGGACATCTTGAACTTGTCATACAACATATTGATGTATTAACTACAGCCTGTTGTCTGTCATGTGTCAACTTGTATAACCACACTTCCAAAGACTTCCGGAATGTTTATTTTCGCATCGATTACTTGGTACAAGACTTTGCTTTTTCACTTTGCCGTTGCGCCTTTTACTTCCAGACTGACTATTTAACTCTCACACCCCGCTATTGCGGACTCCAAACTACGTCCCGAGGGTGTCCGCTATAACGAGAGTTGACTGTACATGAAGAACGGTAGATGTAGCGACAATAGCAAGGTACGCAGGAAATAGTGTTAATTGCTCATGTTGTGACTTGGGGTTAGAGAGGGAGGTAGCTAGGGGGAGGGGTTAGAGGTAGGGGTTCGGATTTGGGTTATCCAGTGTTGGCAAGGAATTAAGTGAAGTTAGTCTTTAGTCTGATCTCAACTGAGGGTTTGACATTTGGGTATATCTCCAAATCAAGAGAATTAAAAACTAAGAACTTATTTTCAATGAAAATTAAACTACAGTCGAAGCTCCCGTAAGCGGGCACCCTCGGGTAGCAGAAGAAGTGTCCGCAACTGGAGCTGGCCGCTTACGGGAATATGTTAATACCGACTTCGTATGATGAGCTAGAGTTCAAACGGGGTTTTGTCAAGGCAGCCGTAAGTAGAGCTGTCCGCTTACGAGAGTGTCTTAAACATATTTCATTAAAGTAGCGTCTAAAACGCTGAGATTGTATCAGAATAAACCTGAATTCGTGGCTACGTTGCCATAAGAGTCGACCGACAACGTTTGGTTGGCCGTATAGGATGTACAAGGTGTTGTGGAAGTCACTTCATGTAATCTTGTCTCAAAGATTTTCCCGCCAATGTGGTGTTGGTCGCCTGCGAAACACCTGCACTCGCAAGCTAACAGCCAATCGGGTTCAAAGCAAAAGGCTTACGCGTCGTTTTCCCGCGCTTTTTGCGGACGCACGCGCTGGTTCAGGGTTGGCTCTGTAACTGAATCCGCACCATTTATGGCAAAGACAAAAAATGATGGTAAATGTTAAGCTTGATAGATACACTGACTGACTGACTGAGTTACAAAAAGGAGACTCGTGAGAGCTTAGGCCATATAGCTAGGCTCAAATGTGACAAACATCCCACAAACTGCTAGGATTAGTTTTGTCGATATGTGTATACGAATGGAAGAAATGATGGTAAATGCTAGGTAGAAACACAATGAGAAAGATATTATTCAGTCAGAGTTCTACCAACAAGAGTCGAACCTATGACCTTCCACACACCGGTCGATCGGACGCTCTACCACTGATGAGCTACAGAAGACTCGTGGGAGCTAAGGCCATATAACTAGGTTCAAATGTGACAAACTTCTCGCATACTCAGGATTACCCTTTGTTTACGACAGTTGTTAGGAGAAAAATCAGTTAGAGTTTTAGCCTAGGAAGTTGAAATAAAATGCTCACAGAATAGCTTAAACGAAGAGCATTATATAGTTCTTCTTTTTTTCTTGATAGAAGCGGACTGAAAACCTTTTATTTGTTGTTCTTTATGTCAGGATTTTGAATGGTACTAGATGGAACAAGATGTTAGAAGGAAACTTAATTGATCGATGTTACGTTTCCTGACCACGGACCAGTTTTCTCAGCAACATTTTATTGCGGGGAGAAGCGACTAGAAACTTGAATGAACATTCATATTTAACAATTATATTATGAGCTCGAGATTTCTAGGTTGTGATATATGATAGTTTATGGCAGGCCTCATCAACTATGACTTATAGAAATTGAGAGCGAATAATCTAATTGTTTTACTGGTAAAAATCATAATAAAACGAGACTCATGCATCGCAAAAAATACCAATTTTATTGATTCGCCATTTATAGACGACCTCCAGCCACTCGTATACTACTGAGTACATTGATAGTATACGAGTAGCTCAGCCAATCAAATTGCCGCATTTCCCTGCGAGTCCAATCAATGAAGATCAATAATCAATAAAATCAATAATACTGAATCAATATTAATCAATACCAATTAATTGATTGTTATTGGAAATCAATAGAAATCGAAGCCCTTCAAGTTGAGTGACTTTCGATTTTCATTGATTTTCAGTGAGACTTATTGATTGCTATTGATTATCTTTGATGAATATTGATTTTCATTGAATTCTTAAATCGCGGTTTACATTTCCAAAAAGACGCATCACTGGAATAGTATATTTGTTCTGATATATATTACGAAAAATCGTATATTTTTAAGATCGCTAATCTACTACAATTGTCAGCATAAGTCTTGAAACACCTTTTCGCTGACAAGTGATCTTTGTTTGAATACTGACTTCTCACTTCAAACAAGATTGCCACTGGATGGTATTTTGTTACGTGTCCCAAGGACTTTGACGAAAATTGTAGGTACATACATGTACCAATTACTAAAACAATTCAAAGTCTCAAAACAACAAAAACAAAACAAAAACGACATCTAAATGACCCATAGCAATAATTATTATTCAAACTCTCAGAATATCTATAAACAGCCTTGATCAGCTCTTCTTATTTAAAGCACCGATCACTACAATGACTGAAAAATCATGTGATCCACGCCGTATTATATCCCTACACTTCCCCAACGTTGACGTTAAAAGGACACTCATGGTATCCTTTTACATCCGGTTTTACAACGCAGAATATAGACAGTTGGACCTCAGTTCCTTCGACATTTTCTGGGCAGTTACAGTCACAAATCAGTGTCGTACTCAAGTGCGTGCACAATCGGATTACCACAGCGTAAATATATCACACGAATGCCACGTTACCAAACGCCATGAAGCATGGGGTTTTACTGTTGTGCAATCATTTATTGATTATCTATAAAAATCAATAATAATCAATAGCAATTAAGAAGACTTGGTGAGTGACTTTCGATTTTCATTGATTGGTTGAACCAATCAATATCAATCAATTAATTATTATTGATTAATATTGATTATATTGATTGGTAATCAATGATTGATTTTCATTGATTGGACTCGCCGGGCGCATTTGCATTAGTATACTAGAAGATATTAGGTTACTATTAAACACAGAGATTTAATTTATATAGAGTTAAAGAAATTGGTATATAAAATAACATTGAAAAATACAGTACAATTAAACACTTAATAATTTATGAACAGTATTTTGATGTTTTCTGTCCGATATCTAGCAGCCCATACATTTTCTCTTAAATTAAACCCCTTTTAACACGTACAGCTAGGGATACTTTAGTTAATACGGGCACTTTCTCTGGTCCCCATGGTAACCGTATGAAAGTGGTTCGACTGAATATCTTTCAGCGCATGCTTGTCACTTGTCATACCAAAATTAAAGTTGGGATCATTCTCGTTCCCAGATCCTCTGTTTCTTTTGGTCACGTGGTTGGCGAAACGGAGGCTCTGGTCTCAGCCGTTACCGGATGTCCGAAAATTCCGGACATCCATTCAGTAATTCGTGTTGCGCATTCATTTTTTATCAGCCAATGAAAAAATTCGATTTTTTCCTTCCGACCAGGGCTACTCGTTTCCGGCGCAAAGAAAAAAAACGAGGAGCTCTGGGAACGAGGATGAGTTGGAATTTGCTGATGAATTGCAAGCTGTCGGTAGCAGTTGTGGCGTTTAGGCTGCTTTAATAAGTTCTGTGTTCTATAGACGTACGTTCAGTAAGGTTATCCTGGTCAAAACAGAGACAAAAGTGAATTCGAAAATGACCTACAGGAAAATTAGTTAATACAATGACAGATTTTCCCGACACAACAGCGCCCAGTAAAACAAAATATTTATTACCTTTCTGCCAAATTTAAAGGAATTTCGCCAAAGAAAATTTGATAAAAACCCAACAAATTTTTACTTGTATTTTTGTCTCCATCGCGGAATGGTATTTTAAGGCGGGAGTTTTTTCCGCCACTTAACATGGGTTTAATGGAAATATCTCGTTCACGTTTCAAGCAATCCAAAAACTCTCTGCTCAAAACATGAATCTATGTAATGGGGTGTTTTGTAAATTTTTTGGTGATTTTGGGGTATTTTTGGGAGGAAATAGTTTTTCTCAAAGGAGTTGTAAAATTTAGGGAAATAAGAAATATTGAAGATTTAATGTAGTTTTAAAATTAGAATTTGAAGTTAAAAATTATTAGATTGACATTGACAGTTGATAACCACGCAAGAGCACCCGCGTGGGTATCAACTGTCTGTTGGTGTTCCAAATTTTTTTTTTCCCTTCTTAAACCTCTTAAAATTTCATTGAAATTCACGTTTACCCCCGCCTTAATGCAAGAAGATTACTAGTTCAGCATGCGTGAACTTTAGTGATAGACGCGGTGGCCTAATGGTTAGCGCGTTGGACTCCGGATCGAACGGTCCCGGTTCGAGCCCTGGCCGGGGGCTACTGCGTCGTGTTCTTGGGCAAGACACTTTACTCTCATAGTGCCTCTCTCCACCCAAATATCAATGGGTACCGGCGACAAAATGCTGGGGTAACCTGGTGTTGGACTAGCATCCCATCCAGGTGGAGTCGGTAGCAATACTCCTAGTTGGCTTCATGCTACAGAAACCGCGAAAGCTCCGGCAGTGTGGGCCAGTTTGGTCCGAATGCGGCGTTACTGTAATACTGACCTATCTGCGTGCATACGTACCCAGTTTTCGCGCGGCCAAGAAACAGTTAATAATAGTTTCCAGTTGAAATGTCTGAAATCAAATGGTGTATGTGTTGGATTGAGTGGTCGATGTATCTGCACGTTTTCTTCAGGTGTAATACAGTATTTGAAATCCACTGACAATTCGGTATCCTTGAAACACTTGAAACAAATGAACATGAAGAACTGAAATATTACGCTGCTAGTAAAACGACTTTACAATGGACAGTCCAATGTCCTAAATTGATTGCCATATATATATACGTCTATCGAGTGTCGTACTTTCTAGTTCTTGCTAGCAAGGTACGTGTGAGCATTTCGGACACTGCTTTCTTTACCCTTTTGTGTGGAAGTGACCGTTTCATCATTTTCAACAAGGTAAATCACTAAACGAGACTTCTACAGTCAACTCTCGCCTTGCGGACACCTCGTTATCACGGACACCCGCTACAGTCTGAGTCAACTCTCGCCTTGCGGACACCCCGTTATTACGGACACCCGCTATTACGGACAGAATTCCGCCCTCCACCCGGCGAAAGCTATAGAAGTTTAACTGAAAATGACTCCCGCTATTGCGGACTCTCGCTATTACGGACTCCAAACTACGTCCCGAAGGTGTCCGTTATAACGAGAGTTGACTGTGTTACGGACAGAATTCCGCCCTCCACCCGGCGAAAGCTGTAGAAGTTTGACTGAAAATGACTCTCGCTATTACGGACTCCAAACTACGTCCCGAGGGTTTCCGCTATAACGAGAGTTTGACTGTACGTGGGTTAAAACACTCCTTTTTACCGAAAACTGTTTCTAAGCACGTTGAAAGGTTGACCTGTCGAACCAATATCCTTTTCCAAGCTGTTTGAGTCGAGTTCATTTTGGTGCGGGCCAAGTAAAATCGGAAATCACATAGCCAAAATAACTTGCGGTTTACAATATATGATTCGGGGCATGCAACATATTATATATTTACGTGCGTAAAGATAAAAACTTGCGTCTCAGCCAAAGATAAGAGTAAATAAGCTTGAGCCATGCATTCACAGCGATGTGTTTATACCATATGCCACACTGACTTGAAAAATGTCATTGCTCTCTCATTTATTAGTCATTAATCATAATTAAACGGTATCTGTTTCCGCAATAAAACAGTTTTCGGTGACCCGTATCAAAAGCTCTTATCACGATTGACTCTACGTGCCTCAGAGCAAGAGCTCTATCGTGTATGACTGGCGCCATCAAGACTGGGTTATTCGGAGATGTTGTTGCCATTTTGAAACGTTTTATTGATGATGACAGTCGAGATGGTTTTGCAAGTTGGCGATAAACTTCGGTCACTGAAAGAGTTTTTGATTAGGAATAGTGCGCATTAAAAAATCAGGGGCTCCCCGGCAACGAGGTTAAACAAAAAACTTGGAATGTTATTTTTCTGTTTTACCATATCGTTTATGGTCGTTTAACCCTTTCATTCCCAATAGTGCTAAGTTCAAAACTGAGAAAATAATTGTGAATTTCTTTTTGCAAAATTGTCAAAAACAAACAGCACCACTTGAAAATACTGCTAAATAGCTTTCATTTGAATGGTCACACACTAGGGTTTCATCCACAGACTCAAAAGTTACAACCACATTTATCGACTCTAGGTTTGACTCTGGGAGTGAAAG